GAGAGAGAGAGAGAGAGAGAGAGAGAGAGAGAGAGAGAGAGAGAGAGAGAGAGAGAGAGAGATTTGCAACATTGGGATTCAGACTTGACATTTGAGCAGAGCCATTGTGGGGGACTATTGTTAGGATCGGTATCGGCGACACTCTGGGTTGGCGACATCTCCCCTCTTCTTCCCGCCTTCGTCTCTCCTCCCTCCTCATCCGTGTATGCATAGGACCTGGCGCCCTCGTCTATGTGTACTGGCACCAGGCTGCTCACACCGTGTGATGGTGATGATGATGATGTTCAGTCTGTGTCACGACTCACGACATTGATTGGGTCTGATTGTTGGTATTTCAGTCTTCCGCTGTGCTATCATTGCTCCACCTTTGAGAGGTCGGTTCTTGGTTCTGGTCTGCACCACTCTGGTATGCGACAGACAGCCTGCCCTTGTGGCTCGAGGCGCCTATTCAAGGGGGGGTTGCCACAGCACCAACTCCTCCCGCCTTTTGGCCTGTCCTTGGAGATTGTCCTGCAAGTCGGGAAGCTTGCTAGCACCACCTAGTCACACTGCAGGATAAGCTCCAAGGAGTCAAGGCACAGGGGGGAGGACTGCCCTGCCATCCCCTCTGGCCGCTTGTTACTTGCTCAACTCATTTCCACCCTAATTGCCTAGGCTCTACCTTCCCTTTACCTCACTTTCCCACCACGTCTACATTCTTAGGACCTTCCTGTCTTAACTGTCCACCATCTCCTGCCTTCCAATTTCCTTGGCCTTATTCCTTACCTCCTACTTCTCTTCCTGAGTCCTGTCTACCTACACTATAGATTTATCTTCTACATATACCTCACACTAGCCCCCCCCACCATGGTTCCTTTCGATTGCCATGTCCTATCCCCAGCCTTTTCTTGGCCCAGTGTTTCCTTGAACCCATTTAAACGCCCTTGCCCTCACTATTAGTAATCCCTCCCCTTCTTACCCCCTCCTCCAATGCAATTCCAAGAGCACCTATCCTACTCCTACCTACTATACTACAAATATGGTACTCTTACCGTACTCGGGTCAAAAACAACCCCACAGGGCCCACACGCCTTTTCTAACGACAATATACATTGGTTGAGGTCAGTCTTCATCTTCCTGGGGTCTTGGCACGCGGCGCATAAGGATCTGGCCAAACTGCATTCGACCCGTGTGAGGGTCTTTTTTTCTTTTTTCTTTTTAAAAAAAACAGGTCCTTATGGGCCTGGCTCCATATCCATTCTGGGGAGCATCGGTCCGGTTCCAATTCCACCGGCAAGTCAGAAATTACAATGAGAACATCCTCATGCTTCCTTCCACCTGACCGAAGGATCCCTGAACAGCATTGATTGCTCCAGCATTGTGGAGGATTGACTGTCAGGCTGTGTCAGCTTGCCATGCATTTCCTCTCAGGTCCAGCGCTGTCTAAACCTGTCGTGTTTATCGTGAAAGCAAGAAAGGGCTAGACTATGGAGACAGCCGCCATTATAGAACATAACTATACCGCGCCTTTAGCCACAGGATTCACGTAGCCTGTTGTGGCTCTTGTCCACCTTCAGACTGGAACCTCTGCCTTCTCGGACCGGCTTCTGAATTGTGCCAGTCTTTCCATTGTACATGAGAGGCCTGTATGTCTGCTACCTTGCCACCTACCAGCCTCTCCTTGTTTTTTTTTTTCTTTTTTCTTTTTATATAAACAGCTTACATCAATGAAATCACCCACTCCCCCTTTTGACTGGCCGAAGGGTCCCTGAACAGCATTGATTGCCCCATTGGCATGGAGGATTGACTGTCAGCTTGCCCTTCTCTGAGTTTTCTCTCAGATCCCTTAAGTAGAATCTGTCACTTAAACGATAAAGCTAGAAACGCAAAGAAACTACACTCTTAATTGAGCCTGAACACTCAGTGAAGAGTCTTATGTCGCCCTGAAGTCCTGTTGTTCTTCCTGAATGGGAGTTGTCATTTTCTGGGGGGTCGTCGAGTTGTGCCAGTCCTTCCATCTGATTTGTAGAGCCTGAATCTCAGCTATCTTTCCTTGGACCAGCCACACCCTCCTGAAGTTGGATATCAACTCTTGCTGTTTCTCTGGATTTTGTTGAACTTGGAGTCTGACCTTCTTCCATTGACACCGGATATGGGTCTCCATGAACAGTTTCGTCGCCGCCCTTACTTGTTTGGTCGGGTTGGTAGTCTTGTCGATTGTCCTGTTGCACCTCTCCTTCCAAATGGTCCACAGTGTTACCTTTCTGATTATCCCCAACCAGGTGCGTTCCGATTTGTTAGAAAGAGTGGAGGTGTTAGTCCATAGGAGAAGTTGGATTGGGTGTTCGGGTAGGGGAGAGGGAAATAAGTGGTCCCAGAGCACTGAAGCTCTTGCCCACAGGTCCGTGGCGAGTTTGCAGGTAATCAGACAGTGTATTATAACCTCCTGTTCATTATCTGGGCATACCAGGTAGTGGTCTGAACTGCTCGGATCGCTGTTTTTCCTTCGAATATGTAGCCAGGCATTCACTGGCAGGGCAATGTAGGCAATCAGCCATTGGAGACTTTTGATCTTTACTGGGCGAATTGGTTTGTACTTCCGCCAGGGGAGTTCCAAAATTGGTCCCATTCTTTGTCCAAGCAATTTGGTCCATCTTTCTTTGATTACTGGCTTTCCCATCTTGACTGTATATTGTGTTATCTGAGTGGGGCTCTTACA